AATAATACTAATAATATTCTTGCTGTTTGCTCTTTAAGGTCTAGTCCCCTTCACACCCAAGTGATTGTGTTTCAGTAATGGGTCAGGTGCTGCTTGCTTGATGGTGGGGATCTTTGGAAGAAGATGTGTGTTACACTGCTGTTAACCATAATTATGGTCCAGATTCAGCAAGGCATACGTGCCTAACTCTAAACTCACAATTAATCTCATTAGGCACATGGCTAATCCTATGCATTTCAGAATTAGGCACTTGCATAAGTATGTTGCTGAATAAGGGCCTGCATGCAGTGAGCCCCTTTCCTTTCTTTCTCATTTAACGTAAAAAACATTGCTAGCTCCACACAGATGCCATAAGAAAAATGTTTTTGCTTTCAGTCAGAAATGATGTTATCATCTGCCCTCAGCTGTGGTGTTCCCTTTACCTTGAAGCTTAAGCAACAACATAACATGCTTCAACCAAGTATTCCACATAAGGAATGGCATTTTTTTGTTTTGCAAAATAAAGCTCTGTGGGTGGAATTAGCTGTGTTGAATGCACATGTCAATAACCTGGATGGTGGTGAGAAACTTTGATATCTGATGAAGAAATTTCTGCAGGTATCCAGACCTTCACTTTTGTGTTACCACCACCAAGTCCAGAAGAGACATCAGGAAGTGTCATCTGACAGCATCAGCAGATGTGAACTGTCAGTATTTCCTTTCAGATACTGTTTTATACAGGAGTCTGGCCTTGGGCAAGGGGTGATATTGGAGAGAGGCAGTTGACACGTAGGCAGAGATTAAAACTGGTTGGACCAGAAGACTTGTGCAAAGGTCTAAACCGAAGAGGAGACAGGCTAGAGGGGCAGGTTAGAAGTGGTCAAACTTGGAGGGCACAGGGGGAGAAAAAGAGAGTGAGCATGAAATGGGACTTTTTTTTTTTAAAGTCTCATCAGTTCTTTGCTGCCAGCAAATACAAATATTCTTTGCCAGCAGCATGTGTATGTGTATACCCCCCTGCAACTTTGGTGAAAGAACATCATTATTAAGGCAGCACAGTCAAACTATCTAAAGTTAGGAAATGCCAGAATATTAATGTTTTCCTGTGCCCTTCTGAACCTTATGATTCAGTCTAGATTTAAATGATGGCATGCCGTTTCCTTTTTCCAGAGAAATCTGCCTCATTCAGTGCACAAGTTGGGCCTACTTTGGGGATGAATATGGGTTTTTCAGTGAAAAAGACTCGTCTGTAGAACATTTGTCCTGCTGCTTCTTTTGCTTCAGAAGTTGGATGGGGTTTTCTGAAGAAGGCAAGGAACTGCAGAAAGGAAAATTATGGACTTATGGTGAAGCCAACTGAAGGTAACACTGAAGATGCAAATTCAATCCTTACCTCTGCCATAGAGTTTGTGCAATGCTTGGTAAATCTCTCAAAGTAAACCTTTTCACAGATAGTCACTACTTGTGTGTCACTCTCTTTGAGTGCCTGGCTTGAGAACTTCCATCTACAGTGGCATTCATAGCGACAATTGAAATTACCAGTATATGTGCCTGACTCTATCAATAGCTACGTAAATCCAAGCACTCTGAAAAATCAGGTATCTCAAACTGGTCATCCAAAATTGGACGGAAAAGTAGCATGTGATCATGTAATTAAAGATTGCTTGTCTGTTTCATAATGCACATACAGCAGCAAGCCGATGTAAAATTGTACAGGCAGCTTTAATTCTGGTACTTTCCACCTTTGGTGTGCTGGACTTTACAGCTGTTAGATAATCACTATTATGCAGTCTTTTGTGTATAATTAAACATTTATTGTGAAGACATTTTGACAAAATTAGAATAAAGACATTTACAGAAGCAGGGGAAGACTTCTGCTCGGGGAGGTGCTGGAAAGAACTCATCATTGATGTTCTTCCCCTTGCTCTTTAGTGCCTCTGGTGACAATTGAACATCTGTCAGTATCCAGGGAATAGAAGTGAGGAAAGGGTTTTTTAAGACCTTGGGTAGGTTACTGAGGAGTTTTTTATTTTAACATTATCAGGATATAAAACAAGCCCTTGCATTAAGCAGGTGGGTACTCTAGATTGGAAGTGGCAGGCAATTCTAACTGTAATGTAAGCTTTGAAGTTTGATTGTTGTTAAGGAATAACATGGAAATACCTGCTTCTCCTGATAGCCTGAACTAGTGTTTTCATATTTAAGCAGGAGAAAGCTATCTACCAGCTCAACCCCAAAAGGAATAGATGGGAGAACTGTACCTTAAACTCTCTAGTTCAGTAACTAGAGGAAGGTAGTGCTCTAGCCACTTCCCACCACTCTTTCCAGCTCCTTGCATTGGCATTTTCCTGTTCCAGACTTTCCTGCTAGGATGTTGTGTATGAGTGCTTTGCAAAGCCACCCCAAGAGTTTATAGGAGCACAGTGCCTACAATGAGAAGGTATGTCAAACTCAGTAGGCATTGTTTGTAACTATTTGTCAGCTTTCCTGCTTGCTGAGCATAATGCTGTAGGTTAATATGTAATTTGGTGTTATGATCCCAGATGAGACTGAGCATAGGGAAGAAACATTCCACCTGGACTTATCTCTGCTTTGTGCAGTTAGAACAAGTGCTGGGTGAAAGGCTTGGGCTGAAATCTGAAACTGCCCACTGTGGTTATTTTGACTCCACTGAGCCAAACCCAGACTCTGCTTTTTGGAGGTTTAAAAATATTGGTTGGTTCTTTTTTTTTTCTGCCTCTGTCCCTAATTCTGGTTTAATCCAGACTTGGTAGCAGAGAGACCATGGGAGAAGCTATTCTTGTGGTATTTCCAAATCAGCCTGAAGAAGGGAACTACTGGAAATCTTGCAAAAAAGCTTTTCTCTTCATAGTGTCAGGCCTACTTTGTACCCAAATACTCTTTCTAATTACAGTTGGAGGGCTAAACTGTTTGGGTGCTTAATTATAATGGAAATTCTGAACCTACCCTCAAGACTTCTTTTTAAAAGGATGTGCAAATCTTAGCATGCTGCTAACTTATTGGTTTAGTTTTACAGCCCTTACTTCCTTTCCTCATCCTCCTCTTTGTCGCACATCTGTGCAGGTTTAATAATCCA